CCCTGAACACCTTTGGACACCCCCAGGACACCCCCAGGACACCTTTGGACACCCCGTGGACACCCCCAGGACACCCCTGAACACCTCTGGACACTCCTGACCCTCTCTGGACACCCCTGAACACCTCTGGACACCCCTGAACACCTTTGGACACCCCCAGGACACCCCCAGGACACCTTTGGACACCCCGTGGACACCCCCAGGACACCCCTGAACACCTCTGGACACTCCTGACCCTCTCTGGACACCCCTGACCCTCTCTGGACACCCCTGAACACCCCCTGGACACCCCCAGGACACCCCTGAACACTTTTGGACACCCCTGGACCCCCCCTGGACCCCCCCCCCCCCCCCCCATCTCACCAGGGCGAGGCGCAGGGGGTTTGCGGGGGGGCTGCAGGGCACGGGGGGGGTCCCCATCTCCAGGCTCAGGGGGTACAGGAGCCACTTCCCGTTGGGCAGCTCCAGCGGCCACTGCACGCTGAGCGCGGCCGCGCCCGGGCTCCGCAGCACCGGCCCCCGCTGCGACACCTGCGGGGGGACAGGGACCGGGACACCGGGCCACGGACCGTCAGGGACAGCCCCGAGACCAGGAACGGCACTGAAAACAGCCCCGAGACCAGAAACAGCCCCAAAAACAACCCCAAAAACAACCCCGAGACCAGGAACGGCACTGAAAACAGCCCCGAGACCAGGAACAGCCCCAAAAACAACCCCAAAAACAGCCCCGAGACCAGAAACGGCACTGAAAACAGCCCCGAGACCAGGAACAGCACCAAAAACAACCCCAAAAACAGCCCCGAGACCAGGAACAGCCCCAAAAACAACCCCAAAAACAACCCCGAGACCAGAAACAGCCCCAAAAACAGCCCCGAGACCAGAAATGGCACTGAAAACAGCCCCAAAAACAACCCCGAGACCAGGAACAGCCCCAAAAACAGCCCCGAGACCAGGAACGGCACTGAAAACAACCCCGAGACCAGGAACAGCCCCAAAAACAACCCCAAAAACAACCCCGAGACCAGAAACGGCACCAAAAACAGCCCCGAAAACAGCCCCGAGACCAGGAACAGCCCCAAAAACAACCCCAAAAACAACCCCGAGACCAGGAACAGCCCCGAAAACAACCCCAAAAACAGCCCCGAGACCAGAAACAACCCCAAAAACAGCCCCGAGACCAGAAACAGCACCCAGGGCCAAAAACAGCCCCAAAAACAACCCCAAAAACAACCCCGAGACCAGGAACAGCCCCAAAAACAACCCCAAAAACAGCCCCGAAAACAGCCCCGAACCCAAAATCTTCCCTGTGTGGAGCCCCGACCCCAAGACCAGCCCCGACCCCACACCCCCTCCCCATTTCGGTTTTGGGGTCCCGGGGGGGGGCTGTCCCTGTTTTGGGGAGGTCTCTGGTTTTGGGGTCTTTATTTTGGGGAGGGGTCTCTATTTTGGGGTCTCTGTTTTGGGGTCTCTGTTTTGGGGAGGGGTCTCTATTTTGGGGTCTCTGTTTTGGGGGTCTCTATTTGGAGGGGATCTCTATTTTGGGGAGGGGGTCTCTTTTGGGGAGGGGGTCTCTGTTTTGGGGAGGGGGTCTCTGTTTTGGGGAGGGGGTCTCTGTTTTGGGGAGGGGTCTCACCGTGACCTCGAAGCTGACGGCGCTGCCCACCTGGCTCTCCCTCTTCACCGCGCTCTCCCCCCTCACCTGCCCCCCAAAAAACAGCCGGGGGGGCACGGCCACGCTGCGGGGACAGGTTTGAGGGGTGGGGGGGATCCCCGAAAAGGGGGGTCCCGACCCCAAAAGCCCCCTCCCCACTCACCCCAAAAGCCCCCTCCCCACTCACCCCAAAAGCCCCCTCCCCACTCACCCCGTCACGGCCAGGGGCAGCTCGAAGACCACGCGGGCTCGGGCGACCACCGGCTCCAGCCCCGGCTGCTCGCTGGTGCTGGGGGGGCGCAATTTGGGGGTCGGGAGGGGGTGACCCCTCCCCAAAAAAACCCCCAGGGGTCACGCGGGGGGGTTTGACCCCCAAATTGAAGCCCCCTGGACCTAAATTTTAAGGGGCTGGGATCAACTACCGGGGTTTTGTTCCCAAATCCTCCGGGGCTCTGGTGAGCAAATCCTGGGGGGGGGTCTCAGCCCCGAATTCCTCGGGGGTTCCAGTCCCCAAATCCTGGGGGTCTCACCCCCAAATTCCTCGGGGGTTCGCCTCAAATCCTGGGGGTCTCCATCCTCAAATCCCGGGGGTCTCCATCCTCAAATCCCCCGGGATTCTGGTCCCAAATCCTGGGGGTCCCCAGCCCCATCCCGGGGGTCTCCATCCTCAAATCCCCCGGGATTCCGGTCCCCAAATCCCGGGGGTCTGCGGTCCCCAATCCCGGCGGTCCCCATCCCCATCCCGGGGGTCCCCAGTCCCCAATCCCGGGGGTCTCCATCCCCAAATCCCGGGGGTCCCCAGTTCCCCAAATCCCGGGGGTCCCCAGTCCCCAATCCCGGGGGTCTCCATCCCCATCCCGGGGGTCTCCAGCCCCA